GCTGGGAAAATGTGGTTACGTACTTGTCAGGTGCGCAGCTCAATCTGTACGCCCTATTCGAGGCCGCGAAATGCGTACAGACTGTAAAGAGACTCGGCAAGTTTCCCAATTACCGTTTTTCTGGGAACTCTCACGGACGTGAAAAGCTCGGAAAGCACATTGCAGCTAGAACAGCCCTGCCTGATACACGGTGTGTCAGGTGTGTCATCGCAGCCGCATATGAAGAGAAAAAGCATAGACTAAGTCATATTTTAATTTGCTGCTGCTTTAATTAACCGTGTCCGTGCAGAAAGGAACACATGCTTCATGACCGAGTGACACCTTTATATAGTTCATGCGACTATAATGACATCGTTCTGACGTGCTCAAGACTTCTACAGTTACATCAACAATAGCAACCGCGAAAAATTGTTTGCATTTCTTCACTTATGACTCTGCTATCCAAAACGTTCATGCACTGCTTTGAGAAAATATACTTGCTATGCCTCCACACAAAATTTATTCCAAAAAATGAGGTGCGCACATTACAATGACAAACGTTTTACAGAGCTAATCGTTTTTGCTGGGTAAGCCGCTTCAAAACATTACCCATGAACCGGCGTCGAAGGCAAGTTCTCGCGTGGCTAATCTTCTTGCGACGGTTTTTGTAAACAGAAAACTCAAAAATAAATAAAAGAAACCTGGCCCCTCGTTCTTGTACCTGCCCGCTCAGATCACCACGAAAGCTGGTTGGTACGCCTTTCATGGCGACGAACAGCACACACGCCAGCAAAAACACAGTAGCAAGTGCAGTAGGCGCAGCTGCTTTTGCCTACCATGCGAAACCAGACGACCGATGACAGTGCCATCGCATTTTCGTGACATATGTACGGTGGAATTCGTCTATAAATAGTGTGCATGTGCGTCACGCAGCGCCTCTTCGTCACTTCTGGAATGCGCCATCGACATGCCCGGGTACCTGCTGACTTCGTCGCCGACTGCTGCCATGTTCTTTCCCCACGCTGGCACCCGTTCAGTTTTGTCTCATGATGCAAGTTTGAGCAATTATCAGCTGCTAGTGAGGCAAGGTGATTTAGCAGCCCACGAACAGGGAGCAGAGCCTCGGGGGGTTCTCTTTGCCGAAAGTTATCACCTAAAATTGAGAAAGCACATTGTAACTTTCTGAAAAGCACCAGTGTGTTTGGCTGGCGCGAATTGACAAAAAGAACTTGAAGAACCTAGATAATATGTGCATCTTCCGATGTACCTTACAGGTAATTATTATATCCAAGTGCATGCAAACAAAGATAGCTTACTGCGATTACTGTACATACAAACTTGTCCACGACCACTGTTTGTACAATCAGCGCGTCAGGGAGGTGGTTGAAATCGTGATGACAATGGCGGGAATTCGGGTATTGTATTGAAACAAACTGTGAAAATGGACGTGAAACCTTCGTTCACTCGCAGTTTGAAGTATAGTACAAATAAGTCTCCAAAAGGTCAACATTCCAATCGGTTTGAGTTGGAGTGGTCAGGTTCTTTTTAAACATTGGTCGATCGATTCCCTGATAAAGTCTCCATCATTTTCAGGGACTTCACTGTACATTAGCGCACTACAATAAAAGTAAAGTACAAGGTTAAAAAGTGGTAAAACATATGCGAGAAGAAAAAAAAAAGTGACCGGCATTACCCCGGTATGCAGAACGCAAAATCTCTACCTTGCACAGTTTTTTCTTATACTGAAAGTATACAGGAAAGTATGAATATTGTTTTAGGGAATCAATCGACCAATGTTTGAAAATAACCTGACTTCCCAACTCAAGCCGATCGGAATGTTAACCTACTGAGGACCTATTTGCGCTATACTACAAACCGCAAGTGAACGAATATTTTCACATTCGTTTTCACTTTGTTTAAATGCAGTATCCGAATTCCCGTGATTGTCATAACACGATTTCAACCACCTACCTCCCTGACATGCTGATTGTGCTCGTAGTGGTTGGTGGCTAGTTTGTATGTAGAGTAATCACGGTAAGGTATCTTTGTTTACAGATACCTGCTTGAATATAGCACTCGCACGTGATGAAGTTACATCTGAAGACGCTAATGTCATTGAGGTTCTTCAAATCGTTTTTGTTAGTCTGCACCAATCAAATACACTTAGGTAATAACTTTAGGCAAAGAGAACACTGTGATGCTCTGCTCCCTCTTCGTGGGCTGCTTAATCAACTTGGCTCATCAGCCGTTGATAGTTGCTCAAACTTGCATCGTGAGGCAAATGTGAGCGGGCACAAGCGTGAGGAAACAACACAGCAGCAGCTGTCGGCGATGGAGTCGGTAGGCACCAGGGCATGTCGGTGGTGCATTCCGTAAGTAACGAAGGGGCACAGTGTGATGCTTGTGCATACTATGTATTGGCTGGCACATTTACAGTGATGCTGCCGCTGTGCCAATTCCGCCAAATTGCCCTGACTGCTACACCCTGCTAGATTTCCTCAAAATTCGGCGAGTGTGCGATGAACCTGCGCCGAACTGGGTGTAATGTCAATGTAGGGTTGTGTTAATGTCCATTTTTTCGGACTTCCTAGGGACAGCGATATCGTCCGAAAAAATATTGCCTTTTTGTTCCGCTCAAGTAATCAAATCGCTAAAGCCGCGTCTGGAATAGCTTCAATGCCTCCCAGAGTACATTTATCAGGCATCTTTGTGCACGATCAGGCTCTGCCGAAGTCAATCTGCAAATTTGCGTCTTGTGATGAGCGCTGCCGATACCAGCAAAGCGCGGAATAAATTGCGGCTTTATCGTATGCAGCATGTTGAAATGACGACGCAGAACATAAAGGGTGAGGCAGAAGAGAGGAATACTTGTCCGGACCTCCGCGATGCGTGTGTGCACAAGATGCGCCACTGTACGAAAATTTCCGGCTACACGTAGGCATTTGCTGCCCTTGAAACCGATAATTTCCCATAGTTCTGCGCAGCACATCGCGGCCACAGCTGTCGCCGTTCCTACCGGGGCGCTTCCATACGCTCGTGTATATCATGGAAATGTGTTCTAGATGTGTTCTTCATTCCTGATCGCACACGTGTTTGTGCGGCGCACTTAGCTGACTCGCACAGAAAGGCAGTGTGGACGGCTGCTCGGCGCGTGTGCGCGATAAAAACATTCATTACGCCAATTGCGCCACATGCAGTAACAAGTAGTTAGCTGAAGATGCGTATCATAAAGCGTCTTACTGGCGCGTTTGCCGCATTGCCGCCATCATGACACCGAGCATTTATTTATTTATTTATTTATTAGAATACCCTCAGGGCCCGTAGGGCATTACAGAGGGGGTGGGTACAACATATATAACACACAAGAAAAAAAGACAAAATAAAGAAACAAGTATCAGATGCGCAAATCAGGAAGGCAACATAAGTCAACTAAAAATGTATAAGAATTCAAGCACATACAAGACAAAGATAGATAATGGAAACTGCGTATAGTTACAAGCATTGCTGAGAAATTGCAGTCTTGAATAACAAAGGGTCTGTTATTGATACAACGGAAGAGGGAAGGTGGTTCCAATCGGCGGCTGTTTTCGGTAAGAAGGCTGCTGAAAAGAATTTGGTGCGGCAAAACGGAATGGCAACCTTATGCGGATGATCAATGCGCGATGAGTGGTATGACGGTTGTGAAATGAGGTCTCGCTTCATTGATGGATTGTGAAAAAATATCTTATGAAAAAAATGCAGTCGCGCCAGTTTCCTCCGGACAGTTAAATTGGGTAGGTCAAGGTTAGATTTCATTTCTGATATGCTAGCAGTACGGGAATAATTAGAACAAATGAACCGAACTGAGCGGTTCTGAACAGATTCTAACGCGTTAATTAAATTTTGCTGCACGGGATCCCATATAGCGGACGCGTACTCAAGCTTTGGGCGAATTAGTGATCGGTATAATAGAATTTTGAGGGACAGCGGAGCGCGAGAAAAGTTGCGGCGTAAGTATCCTAGCGTTCGGTTAGCGTTATTACAGATGTAGGTAACATGCGTGTGCCAAGATAGATTGTTGGTAATGTAAACGCCGAGGTACTTATATGAAGAGACATGCTGGAGGGGAACGGCGTTAATTCTGTAGGTACAGGGGGGAGAAATAGATCGCCGGGTTATTGACATGCATTTAGATTTGTTAGAGTTGAGAGTCATAAGCCATTTATTGCACCAGGTTGAGACAGTGTTAAGGTCTGACTGTAGAAATTGGTTATCATATTCATTGTTTATTTCGCGGTAAATTACACAATCATCTGCAAATAACCTTATAGCGGAGTTAATGCTGTCTGGGAGATCATTAATATATATAAGAAAGAGTAAAGGGCCTAATACGGAACCTTGGGGTACGCCGGATGTTACTTTAGAAAGAGGTGAGTTATAGCCATTAGTTGTTACAAACTGAGTGCGATTAGTCAGAAAGCATTCAATCCATTTAAGAATGTTCGGGTCAATGTTTAAGGCACTAATTTTCAGGAGGAGTAATTGGTGAGGTACTTTATCGAAAGCTTTTTGAAAGTCAAGAAAAATGCAATGCACAAGTGAGCCGCGATCTAAAGCCGATCCTATGTCATTAGTAAAATAAAGGAGTTGGGTTTCACATGAGTAACTTTTTCGGAATCCGTGCTGGTAGGGAGTAAAAAAAGAATTTGATTCTAGGAATGAGACAAGGTTGGAGTAAATTATATGTTCTAACATTTTACAAGGAACACTGGTTAGGGAAATTGGTCTGTAATTGAGAGGAGACTGTGTGTTACCAGATTTGTGCAGAGGGACCACCTTCCCCACCTTCCAGTCAAGCGGCAAAGTGGAGGTCTGAATAGATTGCGAAAAGATTAAGGACAAGTAAATTGATGAATACAATGCAGTGTTTTTTAGAAACTTTGAGTTGATTTCATTTCTGGTGGTTTATCAGTTAGTCATGACCTCATGCACTGCGCTGTAATACCGGCCCCTAAAGATTTCTAATCTGCTTCACCCTATAGCGATTCTGCATAGCGGCAAAGCCGACTTTCGGACATTGCTGTGACGCCGAACAACTTTTGAAGGCGCTCAATTAAGCCTGCGAGGTCATGGGCATAGCATAGGTGAGCACTTTTAAGTAATTCTGTTTAGACTTGGAATGTTAGTTGAAAGCTCCAAAAATCGGACGCCGTAGAGATTCAGCGCCCAAATTTTCAGACGTTCTTATACATAGACGTTCATAGGACCTGTGGTGCTGTCGCGGAATAGTCCGAATTCTCTAGCACGTCTGAAAAATATGGCGTCCGAAAAATTGGCAGTCAACTCATCTTTAGTCGTATTATATTCAAGTGTTATGATTTTCAATTTCATCATTTACTTTCTCTACTAAATACGGCCAGGTTGTTTGTGGGTTACACGATTCTTTTTATATTCCTATTATGCTTGAATAGCGTGCAGCACATCATGATTTTTTTTTTCATTCGCGTGCCATGAACACAGCATCTAAAAATGGCGGGAAAGGGACGATGGAAACTTGTGATGAAAAAAATCTGTAAACGGGGGTTGTGTGGGGCCGACGTTCTGACAGACGGACTTGTTTCTCTGAAGGCTAGAATAAAACAGTTCTGTTCTAGCCTTTAGGAAAACAAGTCCACTTTTTGAAACGTCTGTTAGACACAGCCCCTGTTTACGGAATGTTTCATGAAGGCAGTATGTCTTAAAATGGATTCTACAGCAATATCTGCTCCGAAAGCCAGTTTTGCTGCTCCAAAACAGCCTAAGGAAGTAGTATCATTACTTACCGTATTTACTCGTATAATCCTCGCACTTTTTTTTGGCGGAAAACCGATGCAAAGTTGGCGGGTGGGAGAATCACGTGGAAAAAGCTTTCCAGAAAACGTACAGAGCGAAAAAGAAAACGAAGTGGCCGCAAGTCGGAATTCTCACACCATCAACTAACAGCGAGTTTTGAGAAGTACTAATTCATCATCATCATCATCATCATTTATTTTTCTTTAAGGGCCCCTGACGGGGTATTAAAACTTACCTCAATAATAAAAGCACGGGTTCAACACAAGGCAAGATTTATTTCAGACACAAAAAGTGCACGCAAATAGTCGAGAATTAGAATACCATACGCAAAGCTTGTGGGCGTTGCAGGCGTGGCAGTAGCGTTCGTTGCTCAACACGAGCCCTCAAAAGTAAGCGTATGATGATGAGTGGCATTTTATGGCGCAAGGGCCAATTCATGGCCAAAGAGCGCCATTTCAGTTTACCTTCATAAAATAAAGTTTACCATCGATCACAGTTTTAGGCACAGGGCTGGCCCAACGCGTCTTGGTGGCTTTCAGATGCCATCACCAGTAGTGAACACAAAACTTTTATGCTTCGAAAAGCTTACCAGCGGCCCTGTTGCCGTTGTTTAGATCATGATTTATCACTTTCAACTTGAAAGCAGGCGTGTAGCTTCAGTATCTCCCCATAACGTGACAAGAGTACCGACACAACATACAAAACACGCCGCAACGCGCACTTTCCACTTTGGCTTGGCTTGGCTTGGATTGAATCTCCGTGCAATAATAGTAAGCTTGATGCTTAAGAGATGGTGCTCACTATCATCATCAGTGGCTGGAGCGAGCAGACGACATTATTGCGGCAGTTTTTGGGGATGCGATACTTACTCGACGGAAAAAAAAATTGTATTTTTGTTGGGCTATAAGGGGGGTGCGAGAATTATGAGAGTGCGAGGATTACGCGAGTAAATACGGTATATATTTGCCCTCTCGAACTGTTTCCTGCTGCCTGAAAACAGTGCCATCATGCCCTATTCTAGGAAAGTTGGCAGAATTGACTATTTATGGGAAAGCTACTGCACATGAGCAGTAATGGCACAGGTGTACACCGGCTCTCTACAGTCGGTGTACATTTGGTTTGAAAACACGAGTCCGGCTTGTCGCCGATTGTACATTCATGTGCTGTTGTTGAGTGACTTTGCTTTCATAGTTTGAGCAAATATGCCAGCACACTGCGCGAATTATTCCATCGAAAAAGGAGCATGAAGAGCCCTAACTTTGACAGGTTCCCCTCTGTGAAGCTACGTGCTAAAAAGAGAGATGCTCAAGTAATGGCATGTGGGATCGTAGAAGGTTGGCAGAGGAGGAAAAAGTCTTTATTAAAACAGAGGAGTTTGGATTATTTCATCGAAAAAGGAGCATGAAGAGCCCTAACTTTGACAGGTTCCCCTCTGTGAAGCTACGTGCTAAAAAGAGAGATGCTCAAGTAATGGCATGTGGGATCGTAGAAGGTTGGCAGAGGAGGAAGAAGTCTTTATTAAAACAGAGGAGTTTGGATTATTTCATCGAAAAAGGAGCATGAAGAGCCCTAACTTTGACAGGTTCCCCTCTGTGAAGCTACGTGCTAAAAAGAGAGATGCTCAATTAATGGCATGTGGGATCGTAGAAGGTTGGCAGAGGAGGAAAAGTCTTTATTTAAACGGAGGAGTTTGGCATATGTAGCTTGCCATGGGTACCTAACATTCTCGGATCTTTTTAGTGTAGCACGGCAGCACACAGTCTTGTGTATATCAGCGCTTCTAACAGACCACAGAATACTGCCGTTAGTACGGGAGGATGCACTCTCATGTATCAACGCGAACCATGATTGAGATAGAAGCATGGGTAATTTAATAATCGCAGTAGTGGGAGCTGCAACCATGGTCGCTTTATATATAGCAGGGAAAACTCCTGCCTTGTGAAGCAAGCGTAATATGGCGTATTAGTAAAGCGCATCGTCCCATTAATACAGTCATACTCACAAGTGCATTGATGCATATTCATTTACATTGTCATTTGATACTTTGGCTATTTTAACTAGTGACACTTGTATAAGAGCGTACTAGAAACGCTTGTAGTATGCTCTACCTATATATAAAGATCTCTCCCTCCAACAGAGTGTCAGTGCATTCCAAGGATGTGGCCCACGCTATAATGTCGCACCCTGTTGTCACATAAGCACTGGACTTCACAGACAAACTGGTGTAACTAAACCTAGTTCGTCAGACATCTTAAGGTTTGGTCGCATTCTTTCTTGAAGGAGCAGGTGCAATGAGCCTGGTGAATAGTTGTGGTAGCAAAGTGCTGGTATCACCTTACTTCATCATTGCTCAGGCTAAAACGTGGAAAATCCTTGTTCCTCCCCATTTCTACTAACGTAAACATAACATTTTCCTCTACCTTATTTTTTCAATATTAGGCACGCGTTCTCAGCACTAAAGCAATGAAACCAGCGCACGTGAACTGTTTAACACTGCCTTGCACTTGTTGGCAAATACATTTGCAACTAAAAGCATGAGCGAAGCTTACCTGTTTACATGGCAGGCAGTGCCCACTTTTCTGCAAACTGTCAATTCAGAGTGCGAGGAAAACAAGCAGGAAACTGTCACGCTTCCTCTTGTGAGCAGCATCCTATAGAATAGTTGTTGCTTATGCATCTTCTCTGCCCCAATGTTTCTTAGCTTGTTTATGGCATGTAAGATGGGCTTTTCTCAATAATATTTAAATTGACATGGTCAAACCCAGTCAAGATGATTTAGGGAACTGCTCTCCTCAACATTTGTTCTCGCGTGTGTATAAGTGAAAGCGAAGTGGATACACATATTCAGAAGAATAATTTTTATTTTTGACGACATATTGAGCGCTAAGATACAGGGACAGGAGAGAGTGGACACCACAATGCGCTAACTTCAACAATTTTTATTTTCAGGAAACGTCAAGCTCCCTTTACCAACACGCCCAAAAAATGGCACTGCTAAAATTTTTATTTGCCAGTCTCATACTGAACACCACATTGAACCTTGCATTTTGTCCAGAGTACTTTAGATCTTGGTCACTTCTTAAGATGCACACATGACAAGTGGTACGATGACAAACACCAGTTGGACAATACTGAGTCATGTGCGCCAAGATGTTTTGCATGTGTTATATTCCCACTGTTTGTTTATACCTGGGCACATTTTTGACTGCCAACCTTGCATCAACTGAAATACAGCTGCGTACAGCATTTACATCAATAATTTCATCTGGATCCACATTCTAGGGCTTCTGTACGATGTCATCCTTTTCTATTTTCTTGCTTTGAATGGCAGCATGTTCACCCGCTGGCTGAAAGAAAATTATTTTCTTAGACCTTGCTCCTTCGTGCCAAGCCTTTCAAGTAGGTGTGTGCCCCTTTTGGCCTCTTTTATTTCTGCATTTCGGGTGCCACTTCTATGTTGCTCAAGCAAAGTGCAGGTTAATGTTCCAGACATATTTTCACGAGGTGTGCCAGAAGCATCATCAGGAGCTTTTTGTAGGTAATCAGTGGATGCAGCAGCATTATCGTCAGAGTTGCCTTCAGGCAAAGGAATGTCTGGTTTGCTCTGAGCTAGAGCCGCACATTCGCTTAGCAGGAGCAAATAGTCAGGACCCCGTACTTCACCAGAAATTGAGCCACTGTCATCGAAAATCATGCCACTAGCAGTGTATTTGTTTGTTTAGAGGGACTTTAGTAGCTTCAGGTGACTAAAGATTGAGTTCCCATTTTTCTGTGGGTGTCTGTGCCTGAAGCTTCAGAGGAAAAAAAAGGTAGGCGCTCGTCTGAGTATTCAGGTGCAATACACACTTTCTGGCCCCGCCGCGGTAGTCTAGGGGCTAAGGTACTCAGCTACTGACTCACGGGTCGCGGTATCGAATCTTGGTTGCGGTGGCTGCATTTCTGATAGAGGCAGAAATGCTGTGGGCCTGTGTGTTCAGATTTGGGTGCACGTTAAAGAACCATAGGTGGGTGAAATTTTCGGAGCCCTTTATTACGGCGTCTCTCATGATCATGTAGTTGTTTTGTGACAATAAACCCCACATATCAATCAATACACACTTTCTGTGGTTTGCCGCAGACAGGGTGTCCCCTCGGGACATTGCAGATGTCAAGCGAGGGTTGTCGTCATAGAACATTTGTGGGGCATGCACAATACCCTGACTGGCTCCTGTTGAGGACTATTGTTCGTCACGTCTTGCTCTGTTGTTGGGCTGCTCTCAAGGTGGTTTTGTCTGCTTAAGCCAGAAATGCTTTTCTTTTTTCTGAAGGGGAC